CTCTCTCTCTCTCTCTCTCTCTCTCTCTCTCTCTCTCTCTCTCTCTCTCTCTCTCTTTCTGACCTGTAGGTATAGATCAGTGATAGAGGTCTTGCCAGCATGTAGGAGACCCTGGATTTGATTCCCAGCACTGCACTCAGCCCCACACACAGCCAACACAGCCAACCCCATAGAATAAGGTATATATTATGCTGTGATGCTGCCCACAACTGAGGATAATTCTATGTTTCTTTCCTTTGTCTTTTCTTTCTTTTTCCTTTTTTTAAATTTTTGGTACCAGAGATTGAACCCAGGGGTGCTTAACCACTAAGCCACCTCCACGGGCTTTTTTGATTCTGTGTCTCACTAATTTATTTAGGGTCTTGCTAAATTGCTGAGGCTGTCCTTGAACTTGTGATCCTCCTGCTTCAACCTCCTGAGCCACTGAGATTACATCTTTTTATTTATTTATTTTTAGTTGAGCATCTCAATATGTCATCCAGGCTGTTCTTGAATTCCTGGGTCCAAATGATCTTCCAGCTTTAGTCTGAGAAGTAGCTGGGACTACAAGTACACAACATGGTGCCCAATGAGGAGAATTTTTTCAGGATGAGATTTGAAAATAAAGTCAAGATGTGGTAGAGTGCATTTTCCCCAGAATATTCTGATAAAAGAATGACTCTGGGCTTACTTGAAATTACCCAATACAATATCTTTCTAAGCCTGTTCTCAGAGAGTTCTTTGTAAGGCGAACATGAGCCCAAGGCTTCTTTGTTTGGGCCTGGGCAGGTCCATTTGGGACTGTCTCTGTGCCAGAATTAGAAAGTTAGGAATGCTTACACAGTCTTTGGGGTTCCTCCAATTCTGCAATTCTGACAAGTAAAGATAAGGGAAGGAGGCTTCTTTGTTCTCTCATTCCTAACTCACTTTTTCTGAGGCTGGAACAACCAATGCAGATGGATTTGATTTTTCTCCATTTCTTACAAGGATTTGCTCAGTTGTGGCTCCTGGAATCTACCTAAGTCTGAGGTCTTGTCCTTGGGTGAGAAATCTGGGAAACCTTCTGCTCTGGGGAGGAAATGGGGGATGTAGATTAACCAAACCAAACCAAAGGACCAATTTATAAAGTGACAATTAGTATAATAAATAATAAATGCACCAAGCCCTTACCACTCCTGACCCCAAACTTCTCTCTATAGGCCCCTGTGGAAAGCAGATGGTCCTTAGTGTGCAATTTTTGTGTGTGACACAGGGTTTCACATTATTGCTCAGCTGGCCTTGAACTCCTGAGCTCAAGGGATCCTCCTGTCTCGGCCTGCTGAATAGCTGGAACTAAAGGCAGGTGCCATCACACACACTATTTTTTGGGGGGGTGGGGGGGTGGGTGGGTAGTGGGGATTGAACATAGGGCTTCCAGCATGCTAGGCAAGGCTTTACCATTGAGCTGCACCATATATATATATTCCAATGAACCTTTATTTATTTTTTTTAATGCGGTGCTGAGAATTGAACCCAGTGCCTCACACATGCCAGGCAAGCTCTTTACCACTGAGCCACCACCCCAGCCCCCAGATTCCAGACTTTTGAGAAAGGGTAGGGCTAACTTGCCCAGGCTGGCCTTGATCCTCTTGCTTGTAACCTCCAAAGTAGCTGAGTTTACAGGCATTTGACACTGTGCCTGGCTAGCAAGTGGCCTTTTTTTTTTTTTAATATATATATATACTTTATGACTTTATTTATTTTTCATATGGTGCTGAGGATGGAACCCAGTGCCTCACCCGTTCTAGGCAAGGGCTCTACCACTGAGTTACAGGCCTAGCCCCAGCAAGTAGTCCTTTAGAAGAGTGCTCAGTAGGCCACAAATTGGAAGGACCAGACTCCTCCACTGTAGGAGGCTCTGGGGAAAAAAAGCTGATGCTGTCATCTATGTTAAAGGCACACTTCCTTCCAGGTGAGTGAGGATGATTCTAGGGTAGGGCCCTGCTCTGCCTTTGGACTTTCATGGACAGACCGCATTATCCTAGACTTCAAACGTCTTCCCTGCCCTGGCTTGCTAGTCCCTTCCAGATGGACATTGCTTCCTTAGATATGCTAATTTCTTCCCTCCCAGGGCGCTGGCCAATCCTGCCTTATGGGACTGTTTCCGATTTAGGTAGGGGTGGAGAGAGCAATCTCACTGCTCCGCCCTCTCCTGGCACAGCCCCCCGCCACGCCCCCCGCCCCCCGGATTAGGTGGGCAAAGGGTCAAAGAGTGGTCTCAAGGTGGAGATTGCACAGAGGACTCGAAGAGCGGGATCCAGGATTGCGATGCTGAGCCCTCCGGCGGGCAAGGACAGACCGGGTGTAGAGCCCACCAGGGGCGTGTCCCCATGCTCACCTGCCATTGGCCAGGTGGGGCAGCCGAACACAGCCTAACTATAAATGCGGAGCTGGTGGTTGCCGAGCCAGGCCTGCGAAGGATGGTGGACAGCGTGTACCGAACCCGCTCTCTAGGGGTGGCAGCCGAAGGGATACCGGACCAGTATGCGGACGGGGAGGCGGCGCGCGTGTGGCAGCTCTACATCGGGGACACCCGCAGCCGCACCGCCGAGTACAAGGCGTGGCTGCTCGGGCTGCTACGCCAGCATGGATGCCAGCGGGTGCTCGACGTGGCTTGCGGCACGGGGTGAGCCCCAACTGGGGCTGGGGAGTGGGGACGAGGGACTGGCTGTGCCCGGACAGGTGGGCTGCCGGACCGATTGGGCACATTGGGGCGGTCCTCACCTGCCGGACTTGGGCAGGCGCAGGATGGACGCCAGGGCTGCGGCTATATGCTTCCCCCGGCAGAATGGGCACCTCAAGTGCACCAGCATGCCAAGGGGGAAGAAGGTGTGTGGGAGACCCAGGGCAAGAGAGGGTGGGCGGAGTAGTGAGGGTGCATGGCGCAGAGCAAGAACTGGGCTTTGGGGCCAGGCTAGATCCTTGATGGCCTTGGGCAGCGTTAACAGTTAACATTTGTTCAATATTTGCACGTGCCAAGCGCAGTGCCAGGAGTTGATATACCAGCTTTTCAAACCCACACAAAACCTCATGAGGTAAGTATGATAATTCTCCAGTTATTACTGGGGAAACTAGGCCCCATAGAAGGAAAAGTTCCCCAAGTAGTAGAGGGAAGATACAAACCCAGGTGATTTAGGGTCTGGTCTATGCTCCAGACCAGCATGCGACATATACTGCCTGTGGTGAGCCAGTTTCCTATCATCTACCTCATAGGATTGCCAAAAGGATTAATGCACATTTGTGAAGTGCCTAGCTCTGACAAGGTGTTTTAAAATGAAAATTACTACCCAGTGATAAAAAAAAAAAAAGAAAAACAGATTTATTCCAGATTTGGTAGGACATGCTTGTAATCCCAGGTATTTGAGAGGCTGAGGCAGGAGGATCAAAAATTCAAGGCCAGCCCAGGCAACTTAGCAATACACTGACTCAAAAAATAAAAAGGGCTGGGGATATAGTTCAGTACTACAGAACCCCTAATTACAATCCACAGTACAGATTTCTGGGGTCATTTTAGGTCAGTGGAGAGGGTCTGGGAGAAGAGGCAGAGAAATAGACTCTGAAGAGTTGAGGGAAGTGTCTTGCGCAGGGACGCCTTGGCATCCTAGACTCTCCTGTTTTTCTCGGCCTCCCATCCCTGGCCCTGCTCAGGGTGGACTCCATCATGCTCGTGGAAGAGGGTTTCAGTGTGACGAGTGTGGACGCCAGTGACAAGATGCTGAAGTATGCACTTAAGGAGCGCTGGAACCGACGGCAGGAGCCTGCATTTGACAAGTGGGGTATGTAAACCTAGCCAGGCCTTCCTGACCGACACTCCCAGGAACACTGGTCTCTCTTCCCTGAGCTCCTTTACATGGGGTGGTTTGGGGTATTTTGTTTTCCTCAGGAGATAACAATGTTACTGTCATTTTCCTAAAGATAGGCTTAAGTATCAGAATGAGCTACTGGGGTCAAGAGCTAGTTTGTTTCTGGTGCTGGGGTTGAACCCAGGGCCTTGGGCATGTTATGCGTGAGTTCTACAAAGAGCTGTACTTGCAGTACTCCCTACCCTTTTTGAGATGGAGTCTGTTGCCCAGTCTGGTCTTCCTTGCCTCCAGCCTCCTGAGTAGATGATTCTACAGGTGTGCATCACCACACCTAGCTCTGAAAGGCTAGTTTCAACTACTTATAGCATCTTGTCCCTCTTCCCAAATAAGAATACATAAGCAGAGAGCCCCTGTCCCCCAAAATGGCTCTCTCCTCTCTTCTTACTCTCCATGTTCCTCTAACTGGATGGGGACTCTGTGTTTTGAAGAAGAAAGTGATGGAGAATTGCACTTGGCGGAGGTGGACAGTGCAGGTACCATGATGCCACTCTAATTCCTTCCCCTTCTTGGCCCCCAGTCATTGAAGAAGCCAACTGGATGACTCTGGATAAAGACGTGCCCCGACCAGCAGGAGGTGGCTTCGATGCAGTCATCTGTCTTGGAAACAGTTTTGCCCATTTGCCAGACTGCAAAGGTGAGAGGTGTGATCTTGGGCACGTCACTTGCCTCGAGCTCTACCCCTTTCCACAGACTCCTGGGTGCCTGCTCCCGACAAAGATGACTTTGCCTTTTGGCCCCTCTGCCTTGGCATGGCATCTGGGAGGGGAGAAATAGGAGGGAGAATGGTGCTAGGGGCCCTGTCCAGATGGAGCCTCTCTGCCCTTGCTGGAGTCCAGGTGACCAGAGTGAGCATCGGCAGGCACTGAAGAACATTGCAAGCATGGTGCGGTCAGGGGGCCTGCTAGTCATTGATCATCGCAACTATGACCACATCCTGAGCACAGGTTGTGCACCCCCAGGGAAGAACATCTACTACAAGGTGTGGTCCACCAGGGAAGGGCAGGCCCCAAATAGAAGGTGTGAGCTGGGGTCCTCTGGCTCCATAGTGGGTTAATATAGCTTACGCCACTGCCTATAGAGTGACTCGACCAAGGACATCACGACATCAGTGCTAACAGTGAATAACAAAGCCCACATGGTGACCCTGGACTACACAGTGCAGGTGACGGACGCTGGCCGGGATGGTTCTCCTAGCTTCAGGTACTGCTTGGCCTGGCAGGGGTGAAGTAGTAGTGGGGAAAGCTTGAGGCCACTGGTCCTCATGGTTGACGGGGGGGCCTGTTGCAGTAAATTCCGGCTCTCCTACTACCCACACTGTCTGGCGTCCTTCACGGAGTTGCTCCAAGCAGCCTTTGGGGGCAAGTGCCAACACAGCATCCTGGGTGACTTCAAGCCTTACAAGCCAGGCCAGACCTACATTCCCTGCTACTTCATCCACGTGCTCAAGAAGACAGAATGAAGGTGGTCTTGCCTCCCATGATCCCCTGCCTAGGTACTCCAGCTCTGGGAAGGTAGGGATCCATGGCCCCATACCAAGGCCAACTCTAGTACAGAGACACTGTAGTTGAGGTTCATGGATGTGGGTTCAGGCAAAAAAAAAAGAATAAACAATACAATTTTTGCCTTTTAATTCCCTAAGCCTTGTGTTTATGTCTAAAGGAACAGGACCCCAGAGTGCCTGTGCCCACTTCCCTAGGCTCACTCCTCCCAAAACCTTGCTCTTCCCCACTCCAACTTTTCACAACACCAGAAGAGGTCAGCATGTACTTTATTTTCTGCCATAAATGACTTCAGGGCCAATCCCCAGATAGATAGTCCCTGGCCCTCCTCAGCAGGTGGGCCCATCTTAAAGCTGGCCTGGAAGGAGGGGCAAGGAGGAGACATTGGGGTAAGGCCACACTGCACCCAGGGTGTCTCCTGGAGGGAGGCAGCCTTCAGGGGTTAAGCATAGTCTGAAGAGGAACCCTTTCGTCTCAGGTCTCTCTGAGAGGCCATCTAGGTACCTTTTGCCAGTATGGGCAGTCCCAGGCTGCAGGCAGCTCCTAGCAGGCAGCAAACTTGTGCTGGATGTGCTTGTAGCGGAGCAGCTCCTGCTCACTGACTGAGGGTTGCAGGCGGGTGGCAGCCTGTAGCAGGTCATCCATGGTAAGCAGCAGTGCTGAGCTCGCCAATTCCAGCCCTAAGAGGTGACAAAGGGAAGTAAGGCAGCTTCCCACTGCAGAACAGAGGCTGTGTTCTATACCTCAGCAGAGAGACCTGTGGGAGGTACCTTCCTGCTCAGAGTCCCCCAGATGTCCCTTCTCTAAAATCCCAGAATGACTTGTCTCTGCTAGCATTCTGGTTGACCCCCCAGGTTGTTATGTGGCTCACCTTCCTCCAGGTTGTGAACCTTGCGTTTGAGTGCAGTTGTCATGGCATCAGAGCAAAGAGAATAGAGGTCTGCCCCCGTCAGTTGGGGAGGGCAGCAATCCAGCACATTCATCAGGCTCACGGAGGGCTCTAGCTTGAACCTGTGTGGGTACACCAGAAACATTATAAATGGTGCCACTTCCTTCCTTGAAAGCCACTGCTGACCAGCTTATCTTGCGCATTACATGCATCCCCTAACTGCCCAAACCCTTTGGGAGTTTTTCTCAAATAGTATGTACTTGCGTGTGATGGCACTTAGGACACGAAGCTGGGAGGCCCGATCCTCATTTGCCCCCACAAACACCAGCTTGTCAAATCTTTAGGGAGACAAGTGGGTAAAAGTGTCAGGGAGGTCAGCCAGGAGGGATGAAGGAAGTACAGAATTGAATGGAAGGACAATTCCAATAGGCCTGGTGAAGGTCAGAGCAAGGGTGCCCACCTGCCAGGCCGTAGAAGGGCAGGGTCCAAGAGGTCTGGTCGGTTGGTGGCACCAATCACAAACACATCCCGAGTGCTATGAAGTCCATCCAGCTCAGCCAGTAGCTGAGACACCACCCTGTAGAGGAGGAAGCAAAGGCAGAGAGTCCTTGGTCCAGATCAGACTCTGCCCCTGCCTGTTGCGCTGCTTCTTACAGTCTGCCTCAACAGGGCCCTCTGCTCAGCTCTGTCCTGAATACCCTTCCATGTAAGCCCCCATTCTCTTCAATGTTCCACACCCAACTCCATGACTCCTTTTAGCTTCCATTATATTATCTCAGAACTGAAAGGGCAGGCCAGATATGGTGGCACATGCCTGTAATTCCAGCAACTTGGGAGGCTGAGGCAGGAGGATCACAAGTTCGAGACCAGTCTTATTAATTCAGCAAGACTGTCTCAAAATAAAAAGGCCTAGCAATATAGTTCAGTAAGGCACCCCTGGGTACAAACAAACAAGCAAAAAAAAAAAAAAAAACCCTCAAAAGGTAAGAACTTCTGTCTTGGGGCTCTGAAGACTGCTACAACCTGTCTCACATCCCTCATACTTTGGGCCTCCACCTGTCCATCACTCCTCCAGAGTCTCCACTTCGCCCCCGGCTGGGGGCCAAGGAATCCAGTTCATCAAAGAAAATGATACATGGAGCAGCAGCCCTGGCCCTGGAAAAGACTGAGAGAGGAGCTCACAGAAAGGGGAGTGGACCTCAGGAGGACATGATCAGGGAAGATGGGGAGGGATCTAGGGTCTGATAATTCAGCTCTGGCACTGAAGATACTAGGTCCACCTGGGCAGGAACCCAACTTGTGGAAAGGAAGACTAGGAATGACCAGGATTAGCCTAAGGAGGGGAGTGGCACAGGAGCCATTAGGGTTTAGGAAGGACCAGAAGCTCTACCTCTCATCCGGCTCACCTTCTCGTACATTTTCCTCACTTTGGCCCACGTACATGTTGATGAGTTCTGGCCCCTTCACACTGAACCAGAGGATGTGAGAAGGTGAAACAGGTCCCAGTTTGGCCTCTCAGGTATCCCCTTCTGCTCCCCAACCCACCGCAGCACCTCACCCAACTGCCATCCCTTCCAGGCCCCTTGCCCACCTRAGGAAGGTAAGGCTGCATTCAGTGGCTACTGCCTTGGCAAGGAGGGTCTTGCCTGTGCCAGGGGGCCCGTGGAGCAGGAGGCCCGAGCGTCTTAGGCCCAGGCTCAGGAGCTCAGGGTGCTCTAGAGGGAGCTGGATGGTCTCCAGAATCTCCTTTTTCACCTCCTGTAGCCCGCCCACATCATACCAGGACACTGAGGGAATCTAAGACATAGAAAGCAGGCTGTTGGGGATGTCCAAGTGGAGGAAGCACCTTCCCCACCTCTGAGGAGCTGGAGACTCCACCTTGGGTGCTCCAACGGCCTGGGAATGAGCTGTCTGAAGTTGCTCCAGTGCCTGCCCAAAGTCCTCAGCCAGAAGGGGGAAGCCAGCAGCGCACAGCTCCCCCTCATCCTCCTCGCTCCAGCTGCCTGCCACACTGCAAAGAGACACACAAGAGGCCTCTGGAGGGCTGCACTTAAGGCTTCATCCCTGTCAATTCCCATGTCCTTCTTTTCTCACCAGCCCCTCCCCTTAAATTTCCTCTTCCTGTCTTCTCCCTCCTGTGCTCCACTCCCCTTACCCTGAATTCTTGATCCTGGTGCAGGCTGCTCGGCTGCTGTGAGTCAGAAGGGCATAGAGATCTCCTACCACAAAGCCCTAAGGAATCACGGGAAAGGACACATGAGCAGGGCAAGTAGGCAGGAACCTTTGCGGGGCTGGTCCCCCAGCTGGAGCCAAGGCCTTGGGGTTCGTACACTAATGCACAGGGCATCGGGGCTGAGTTCCTGTGACAAAGGTCTTATAACCTCCCCCATGTAATCTATGTTGATACTCACTGCACACCGCCGTGCTAGCTGGGCCAGGTTCACCTCTTGGCCCAGGGGCAGGTGGGTGGTGAGGGCCTGCAGGATGCTGAGCCGTTGCCCTTCTGAGAGCACAGGCACCTCTAGCTCATGAGGAAATGCTGTCTGCACATCAGCAGGCAGGTCCTGGGCCCGGCTTGTGGTGGCCACAACCATCAGGGGAGGGCAACTGCAGACGGGAGTGGGCACTGAGGGTGACAATGTGCCTGGCAGCTCCTGGGTACTGCCTTGTCCTAAGACTGGTGCAGAAGTCCAGGGAAAGTGGGGTGGGTGCTGGAATGGGGTATGAAGATGAGTATCACCCAAGTGTTCCTGGATGGGGATCTACAGAAACAGCCTGAGAGGACTTGTGCTTCTTCCTCACAAGGGGAGCTCACAGAGGGGAGAGGCTGTATTTTCGCTTCGGCCTAGTGTCCCCCTCCAATACGAAACCACACTCTTCCCCCTGAACACTCCAAAGACCCTTAGCTTAGGGTAGCCAAATGGGCAGATTGCGGGAAGCCACAGGAGGGTGAGAAAAGACTGAAAGGCTAAAGAGAATTAAGAGGACAGGGGCCTCAGCTCTACAGCAGATCCTGCTCTGCATAAATACCTGCTTAGGGGGTCCTCACTGAGGAGGAGGTGACGCAGTGTGGCCACCACACGGGCATCCTCACCCAGCCCATCACGGTCCCGGCCCAGAAGATCCACAGCTGTCAGCATTAGCACTACAGGCCGGCAGCGGCGTGCCCGGGAGAAGGTGGCCTGAAGTTTTGCCTCCACAGCCCCACTGCTGTCTGCACAGAGGCTGGAGCAGGGCACCTAGGAAAGGGGTGTCAATGGTCTATGAGCAAGGGCAGGCATGACTGAGACAGGGAGGTGGGGAAAGGAGAAACTAGAGGACGCAGGTCATCTTTACTTGGGAGGGCAGGGATGGGCAAAGGAGGGTTCAAATTCTACTATTTCTCCCCTCTCGCCCAACCCTTTGTACTGAACATTAAACCCAAGGAGCTCTACCACTGAGCTACATTCCCAGCCTTCTTTATTTGGAGACAGGGTTGCTGAGGCTGGCTTCAAGAACTTGTGATCCTCCTACCTCAGCCTCCCTAGATGTGACACCCAATCCGACATGGCAGACGTTTCTTTGTATGGCTATACTAGGTTAAAGTCTCGCATTTTCTCCCTTTTAGGGAGTTGGAGGTTGACCCCATGATCTCAGGCATACTGGAGTAGCACCCCACCACTTTACTACATCCCTAGTCCAAGGTTTACTTTTTAACCCAACCCATTCTGTGGACTGTCCACCATAATCTTGAAAACACTTCCTACTTTTTTTTTTAATATATATATTTTTTAGTTGTAGATGGACACAATACCTTTATTTAATTAATTTATTTTTATGTGGTGCTGAAGATCAAATCCAATATCTCACATGTGCTAGGCAAGCACTCTACCACCGAGCTACAACTCCAGCTCAAACACTGCTTTCTTGAAAGGACTCTCAGGAGATGAATATTGTGGGAATATGCTGTGGCCACTAGGCAAAGTTGTTAGAGCCAATGGTCAACAGAGGAAGACAAGAGGAAGAGGGAGACAGACTCTGGTCTGGGGAGAGGAAGCAGTTAGGGTTCACCTTCAGAAAGTGGAGCCCAAGGCGACTACAGGCAGCTGCAACTGCTGTGGTCTTCCCACTGCCTGGTGGGCCCCGTAGAAGGACACAGCCAGTTCCTGTCAGTAGGGATCCCCTACAACCAGAGAAGACATTAGTTTCCTCCATTCTGTTCAAATGTTAGAAGCCCCAGTAACCCAGGG